AACGATCTTATATGAAAAAACAAATATACATAAATTTTAATAAATTAATCCCATACTTTTATCCTAACCATAGTTGCAAAAGGTAATTTTTGGTAAAATAAATATTGTATACAGGTTGTCCCCCAAAGATATTATACCAATGGTAATGCCTTCAGAGACTGAAATAAATAATTTATCAAATTCTGTTTTTTAATATATAAATATTACTCACAGGGATAAGAACTAGAAAATGTGCATTGTAAATTAAAATTAATTTGTTATGCTTTAAAAAATCATGAACAAATAAACTCTATTTATAATTTTTAAAAAAATTGACAATAGCAATTTTAATATAATTTCATGTATAAAACTGTACCTGGTAAATGCAATAGAAAGGCCATTTATTTTATTTTGTTTTTTAATTAATGGGAGAAAACCTCATAAATAATCTCAGCTTATTTTTCGATAATGATTTATGTAAAAAACCCTGTTATGGGTTAATTTTACAATATAATAAACTTTTATTTAAATTTAAATACGATAGAGATAATAATGTTAAGTAAACCAATCAATAAATCTTAATTGTTTTAAGTTTTAAAACTGTTAATCTTAACATTGTGCAAATACATTTAAAATTTTTGTAAATTTCAATACCTATAACCCAGCTAATTTTTTTCTTATTCATAAATTGATTTATCATCGATTTCAAATATTTTATTTTTCTATTTCTAACTAGTCAATGCACACCAGTTTATTGTTTTTATTTGAATTAATGTTTATAGTTACATAATATCTTGACATTTAAAATTCAATGCTTGCTTATACATACATTGTTTTCAAAATGATAGATTCAATAATAATAATGGTATAATATTTAAAACATCCACCAAAAAACTAAACATAAAAAATATTCACCAAATTTTTAAAAAATACAAGTAAGAATTATGTTACCCCTGTAATAAAATCAGTAACTTCTGGCTCTTCTGGTCGTCCACTTCGCCCCTGCATAACTCCTTTTCCAACATTATTTGTAGTGTAAGATGCTATAAATTAATACAAACAAATTATGAATTAATCATAAATATTACAACACATTAAAATATTAGATTATTAAAAAGACTTACTCCTTTTATCAGATTGTGTAATCGAAACAATTTCATTTATTAAATCACCCATACACCCTTTTTTTTGTATTTATAAAACAAACATAATTTATGTATGTAATTAAAAACAAAAAGTTATTGTTTAAGAATTATGAAAAAATGATCATACTTAAAAATTGTCTTTTACTTTCTTTCTGTGTTTGATTTCTAGAATAAAAATACATATTTATATTAATTTCACATAGTTTTAAATAAAAATAGTTTTCACCCATAAAGTCATGCCATGAAGTATTTCAATAAAATTAGTCACATATATATCAAAAACATTAGTTTCCGAAATTTTTAAAATTTGAATAGGTTACTAAAACACTTAATACAAAAAATATTCACCTGGTTTTAAAAAAATATGAGTAAGAATTATGTTACCCCTGTAAAAAAATCAGTAACTTCTGGCTCTTCTGGTTGTCCACTTTGTCCCTGCATAACTCCTATTCCAACATTATTTGTAGTGTAAGATGCTATAAGTTGATAGAAACAAATTATCATTTAATTTTTAATATTACAACATATTAAAATATTGGAAAATTATAAAGACTTACTTTTTTTATCAGATTGTGTAATTGAATCAATTTCATTTATTAAATCACCCATACACCCTGTTTTTTATTTTTGTAAAAAGAAAATAATTTACATATTTAATCAAAAACAAAAAGTTATTGTTTAAGAATTATGAAAAAATGATCATACTTAAAAATTGTCTTTTACTTTCTTTTATTTCACTGGGAGTAAAACCAAAGAAGTCTTCCTCCTGTTGATCCTCTGTTTTTGATTCCTGTAATAAAAATACATTTTTATTATAGGATTATATATTTTTGATTCCTATTATTTATACGTATTTAAATTTTTCTAACTCATTACACATTACCACAATTCATATTATTTATTGAATAGTTTATTATCGAATTTAATTCCGAGGGGGGGGGGGTTATGGCATGATTATATGTATAACTTCTGGCTGTACATAATTGATTAGACACACACTGTTCATATAATGAAATAGGATTATTAAAAAGTATTATTACTTTTATTGCCAATTAAATTATTATAAGAAATATGCAGACAAAATAAATAGATAAATAAATGTTTGATATAAAAATAATTGTTATCAACCTATTCATACCATGAAGTATTTCAATACAATAAGTCTTATATTTTTCTTATCCATAGTGAGAAGCTATTTTTCAGTTTAATAAAAATTGTATACAGGTTGTCCCATAAAGATATTATACTCATTGTTGTGTCATAATAAATATCAATTTTTTTTTTATTAGTCTTGGCAACCCTATCATTTAATGATATAATCATTGAATTTAGGTATGGAATGTAAATTGATTTTCTGTTGAAGTCTACTGGATCTGATGAAGGTGTGTTATTTCTTAAAGTTTTTTTTTGATGATACTCTTGGAATCATTAATGTAATACCAAGTCTATTTAAAAGTATATTAATATCTTTCATTATAATTTAAAATATTTCCTTGTTATTAGCTCTACCAACACTGATATATTTAATGTATGTATTTTATATATTTATCTATACTCAATAAATTACAATTTTAACTCTGTAATGAATTAGCTATAGGTTTTATAGTTGTAGAATATTTAGCTTTTATCCTAAGGCACACATTAAATTGAGATATGGTAACAGAATTTAAATGATATCTAGCTTTCAATGATGTAATTTTATTCCCATTTACTTTAAGATACTCTAGTACTTCAACTATAAGCAGATAATTTTCATAATATTTTCTAATGCCTTATATGACTTTGACCACTTAGTAACACACAATTTTGTAAGACTTGGAGCAATTGTTCGAAGTAATGAACCTTCCTTAAAAAATATAATTGTTTCTTTGATAATATCAATTGTATTGTGAATAAATAGAATTGAATTCAGTTAAACCAATTTTAATCTACAACTGGCATAATGGACAAAAACTGCTTTCATATACTTGTTTCTTATTCGTTTTCATACTCCACTAACATGTCAAGCCATTGTGCTAGCACCATCATATCCTTGTCCCACCAATGTATTTATGTCCTACATGCCATTCTTGTAAACTAGAAATATTTTTTGGTATACTTTCTGAGTCCAATTTTTCCAATGAAATAAACCCTACAAAGTCTTCTTTTATAACTGCTTGATTATTTAATATTTTCATAAGACACATATTTTAAACATATTTATAACTGTTTTATTGCTGCAATATACATTGTTTCATCCACCAATAATGAATGTAAGTATATTGCGTATTAAAGAAACTACAATATAATCTTATCACTTATCAGTTAATGATTAATCAATTATCGATCTATTTTATCGAAAACATTTATTTATGCGCTCGAACCAAGATAAACCGAAAATTGATTGTGAATGTGATACACACAGAATACAGACCACAACCACAAACTTGTCAGTGATATCGACTAATGTGACCTATGACATATTTTGCCTATTTATTATGCTGCGGAACACAACAGACAGAACGAACAAAAAATTTAGTAAACAGTAAACACTATACAATTATTTCCTTAATTGAAAATATAGCTTTTAAAAAGATTTGTAAAAATATACTACAATATACAAACATAAATCAACAAATAGCTGGGGGGTGGGGCGATGTGGCTCCCTTCCCGGACCCCAGCAAGCACATTTGAAAGTTAGGAAAGTCAATCCATAGTTTGCGTTTTAATTCTTAATAGTGCTAATCCTAATGTTGTGCTTATACTTTTAATAATATGTTGTGTTTAAATTTTTAGAAATTTATATACCTAACTACACCCAGTTAATTTATTTTTCTGATTCACGAATTGATTTATCTTTGATTTCAAATCTTTTATTTTTCTATGTCTAGCCAGTCGATGCACACTAATGTTGCTATTTTTATTTTAATTCATGTTTATAGTTAGGTACACAATATCTTGACATTTACTATTCAATACTTGATCATACATTGTATTCAAAATGATAGATACAATAATAATAATGGTATAATATTTAAACAGTCCATCGAAACACATAATACAAAAAATATTCACCACATTTTTAAAAAATAAGAGTAAAAATTATGTTACCTGTGTAAAAGAATCAGTAACTTCTGGCTCTTCTGGTCGTTCACTTCGCCACTGTATAACTCCCATTCCAATATTATTTATAGTGTAAGATGCTATAAATTAATATAAACAAATTATGAATTAATCATAAATATTACGAAAAATTAAATGTTGGGTGATTATAAATACTTACTACTTTTATCAGATTGTGTAGCAGAACCAATTTCATTTATTAAATCATCCATATACTCTTTTTTCGTATTTGTAAAACAAATATAATTTACATATGTAATTAAAAACAAAAAGTTATTATATAAAAATTATGAAAAAATGATCTTACTTAAAAATTTTCTTTTACTTTCTTTTATTTCACAGGGAGTAAAACCAAGGAAATTCTCCTCATGACCATCTTCTGTGTTTGATTCCTATAGTAAAAATACAATTTTATTTCCTATAATTAATATAATTTTAATATTTATCTAGTTTAATACAAATCATTACAATTCCTATAATTTATTAAATTGTTTCTTACCGTATTAAAAATCAGGATTTTTTTTGTAAAATTACTATTTTATGTATAATTTTGCTAAATTATTTACTGCAATACACAAGTGATGAGAAACTGTTCATATAATAAAACAGGTATTTCAAAAAAAAGACTAACACTGTTTTTGAAAATTGAATTCGAATAAGGCATATGTGAAAAAAAAGATTCAATTTTTTTTAGAAAAAACTTTATATATAATATCTATAGAACTTTCAATATATTTATCCTAACCATAGTTGCAAAAGGTAATTTTTGGTAAAATAAATATTGTATACAGGTATTATAACACAAAGATATTATACCAATGGTAATGCCTTCAGAGACTGAAATAAATAATTTATCAAATTCTGTTTTTTTAATATATAAATATTACTCACAGGGATAAGAACTAGAAAATGTGCATTGTAAATTAAAATTAATTTGTTATGCTTTAAAAAATCACGAACAAATAAACTCTATTTATAATTTTTAAAAAAATTGACAATAGCAATTTTAATGTAATTTCATGTATAAAACTGTACCTGGTAAATGCAATAGAAAGGCCATTTATTTTATTTTGTTTTTTAATTAATAGGAGAAAACCTCATAAATAATCTCAGCTTATTTTTCGATAATGATTTATGTAAAAAACCCTGTTATGGGTTAATTTTACAATATAATAAACTTTTATTTAAATTTAAATACGATAGAGATAATAATGTTAAGTAAACCAATCAATAAATCTTAATTGTTTTAAGTTTTAAAACTGTTAATCTTAACATTGTGCAAATACATTTAAAATTTTTGTAAATTTCAATACCTATAACCCAGCTAATTTTTTTCTTATTCATAAATTGATTTATCATCGATTTCAAATATTTTATTTTTCTATTTCTAACTAGTCAATGCACACCAGTTTATTGTTTTTATTTGAATTAATGTTTATAGTTACATAATATCTTGACATTTAAAATTCAATGCTTGCTTATACATACATTGTTTTCAAAATGATAGATTCAATAATAATAATGGTATAATATTTAAAACATCCACCAAAAAACTAAACATAAAAAATATTCACCAAATTTTTAAAAAATACGAGTAAGAATTATGTTACCCCTGTAATAAAATCAGTAACTTCTGGCTCTTCTGGTCGTCCACTTCGCCCCTGCATAACTCCTTTTCCAACATTATTTGTAGTGTAAGATGCTATAAATTAATACAAACAAATTATGAATTAATCATNTTTATAAAAAAAACATAATTTATGTATGTAATTAAAAACAAAAAGTTATTGTTTAAGAATTATGAAAAAATGATCATACTTAAAAATTGTCTTTTACTTTCTTTTATTTCACTGGGAGTAAAACCAATGAAGTCTTCCACTTGTTGATCATCTGTGTTTGATTTCTAGAATAAAAATACATATTTATATTAATTTCACATAGTTTTAAATAAAAATAGTTTTCACCCATAAAATCATGCCATGAAGTATTTCAATAAAATTAGTCACATATATATCAAAAACATTAGTTTCCGAAATTTTTAAAATTTGAATAGGTTACTAAAACACTTAATACAAAAAATATTCACCTGGTTTTAAAAAAATATGAGTAAGAATTATGTTACCCCTGTAAAAAAATCAGTAACTTCTGGCTCTTCTGTTCGTCCACTCTGTCCCTGCATAACTCTTATTTCAACATTATTTGTAGTGTAAGATGCTATAAATTAATATAAACAAATTATGAATTAATCATAAATATTACAAAAAATTAAAATATTGGATAATTATAAAGATTTACTTCTTTTATCAGATTGTGGAATGGAATCAATTTCATTTATTAAATCAGCCATATACCCTTTTTTTTTGTATTTATAAAAAAAACATAATTTATGTATGTAATTAAAAACAAAATTTATTGTTTAAGAATTATGAAAAAATGATCATACTTAAAAATNTCACTGGGAGTAAAACCAATGAAATCTTCCACTTGTTAATCCTCTGTGTTTGATTCCGTCCCTGCATAACTCCTATTCCAACATTATTTGTAGTGCATGATGCTATAAGTTGATAGAAACAAATTATTAAATTATTAAATTAAATTATTAATTTTTTCTATACAAGGTGGTTCCGTACATTCAGATGTATAATCAATCTAATCAATATAAAGTTTTGAGCGAACTTTAAACAAATTATTGATTTCGAAAAACGATTTGAAGCGACGTTTTTTTTTATTCTCGTAGGTTAATTTTTCCTGGGTTTTCATACATTTTTCCTAATTATTATGAAAATCGCTTGTGAAGTGACTCCTTTAAAGTATGTAACTAGATAAAATAAACATTCAGAAAAGGCGATAAACTTTTTACAACAGAGCAATATTTTGTTAAAAATTGTTCATAATGTGACGGGTTGATGTTTACAATTATAAATCATATTTGTTTTTACAAGTTGATAATCACTAATCAGTATATTTAAGAGTCATAATTATGCGATCCGCTATATAATTACAGAAGATGTCAACAATCATGTCTCAGGAGTTTAATTTTATCGGAAATTTGGTCACTGTCTGGATTTTAACAATTGGGATTCTTTGTGCCTGGCATATATTTTAAACATTGAAAAATTATACTAAAAAAAAAAAAAAAAAACGGTTACCATGCTAGAGTGAAAATATACAAGGAATTTAAGGTTCAAACAGTTTCAAGTTCACTCCTTCGGTTTTGTTTCCAAATAATACACAACGTTTATGCCACCAAGCCTTATCAGTTGAAATATTGTACCCACTAAAAATTAAATAAAAAAATAGTACATAACATAAACTATTGATAGGAAATGTCTAGAAGAAATTAGTAATTAAAAGATAAACTTACCATTTTATTTAGATTTCGATTGCTAAATGTCCTCTAATACACAATCATTGATTGCAATAATATGCTCAATGAATAAGTTACAGATAGAAGTTTATCTAATGTACGGTGGTTTTGTGACCGATGATAAAATATTTGTAGTTACCTGACAGTAGGGTCATTTTCACCATAACAAATATAATTTTACATTATTTGTATGGTAACACTGTAAATAATGATAAAAAAAACTATCGCGTCAATCAGCGGAACATCGTTTGGTTTGTAAAAATTGTATTATTTCTAAAACATTCATCTTATTATTTTCATACAACATACAGGAATGTAATAAATTCAGTATGCTAATAATGAAAAATTTTAAAATGTTGTGCATACCCAAAGATTAATTAGTCCAACTTAGTATCTTACAATCAGGCAATCAATATTTATATCTAATAATACAATTTTTAGTTGTAAGGATTGGTTAATAAACTGCAAAGGCAAGATTTTTTGGTGAAATCAATTGATTTTCTGTACATATACTTATATGTATATATTATATAATATTCTGACAATAACTTGTTCTCATTAATTATATTTTATACCAAGCATTATTCAGAGGCATTGTTTTCAAACCATAAACAACTATAAAATAACGAAATAATTTAATATTAAAAAGACAACAACATAGTAAATTATATGACTTAATTATGTTATCAGATTAAGTAACAAACAATGTTTCAATGAAATCATCACCAAAATGTTTATACTCATTTAAAAATACATGTTTAGTAATATAATCAAATGCTGGTAATAGTTTTGCCTGTATAAAATATTATCTGATGTAAACAATTTTACATGATTTTAGGGAATATAACATAATGATTTTTGTTTTACTTTTACAGGTCAGTGTATTCAAATTAACTTAGTTACTTTTTAAATCATTATGGCAAATACATACTTATACATAACTATAATAACATAATTAACAATTTATTTATGGGTTTATCATGTAAACAATGTACATACATGTATATGTAATTACAATAAAGATGTATAAGTTAGAGGTAATGTGGAATATCGGTCAATGTGTATATATCTGATACACCTAAATTAAGATTTTATAGAAAGGACTAAATGTATTAATATGGGTAAATAAAATATATCAAAATTAATAGTATCTGTGGTACAAAATCATATATTTGCTCGAGAGTAAAATAATCTAAAAAGTAATTTAACCAAAAGCTAAACTAAGCTAAATAATTTTAATTTGTACAATCCCTCTACTTTTATTTGTTCAATTAAAGTAATGATAGTAGTGTAGAAGTAAAGGATCCTGGGAAAGTTAACCCATTCTGAACTAAATAAAATTGGAGAAGTGACTATTGTATGGATTGGTTTTTCATCATTTCTCGATGATCGGGAAGAAAAAATTTAAGGTATATTTTTTAAATTGTATTCATTCTATATGTTATTAATGTATATATAATTAAATACTATTATGTAATTAACATTCTATTCTTAATATTCTTTCTATCAGTTGAATGACTCTTAAAGATGTTTCACTTCATTTGCCAGTACTCTTTACACTCTTGCAGTTTTTTTATAATTTTTTTACCAGATTATATTTATTGTTGGACGTTAAAACATTAAATGTTATATTTCGAATATTTCCTAAATTTTTTTTTTCACAAAAAAACTTTACTTACGGTAAAACAAAAAAATTGTAAAATTAAAAAAAAAAAACTATCAAATAAGTTATAGACAGATTTATTGCGGAATTAGGAATAAAATTAACATTTATTGATTTTGAAGAGATTTCACATAATCTCACTTATCAGATTTCTCTTTAAGTACATAATCCTATAACCTTAGCATTTTGAGTTGAATCCAGTTGTTATGAATAAGCTCATTAACTTGCTACTATTTATGTATAGGAATTTTTCAAAACAATACTGACTAATAGAGCTTATAAACTATAGAATGTAAAATCTTAAATTTTTGAAGCTAATTCTATATTATTACTCAAAATAACAAAATTTGAGTTTATGTAATATTTTAATATTTTATTTTTTAAATTGTTTCAATATATAACTTATTTTACTTTATAATATGACATATATTTTGTTGAAAAATCAATACTACTAACAGAGCGACACTAAGAATAGTTTTTCATAAGCAATGGATTTTTATTGATTACAGACATGAATTGAATAATTTTATGTGTGCTACTTTTCCAAATTCTAACTTACAACAGTGGCATTACGATCGCCAGTATCAGCTTTATTTTTTTTTTACTGACTTATTGCCTACATGTTTATATTTGGTTACCAATAAAATAAAATCTGATATTAATTGTCTTATTATTTCAAACTTTATAAGCAAATACCTATTGGTGATCTTTGATGTTCTATTTTATGTTTTGATTAGTAATTTTCGCCTAACTCGAATCATGACTTCATTTTTTTGAATGTTCTTATACAAAATGGCTAATCAAGTCTTTCAGGATCCCTTAAACTTTTCTGTTTCATCGTGAATTTTAAAATAGTATACAAAAGGGTTTGTATTATTTGTTATTTTTTTGTTTTTAGAAAATATACAATCATTAAAAAAGTGCGTTAATTGTTGTAATGAAAAAAAAAAAAAAAACTAAGAAATATTAATAATTTAAAAGCTATTTATTAATTGTTACTTCTACATACACTTAGTTAAACGCATACATTATTATATTTCCACATAGGTTAATTGGTTTACAGATATTCTATGGTAATTAATTAATTCTAAATAACACTATTTTCTATGATTTACAGAAAAAAAAAAAAAAAAACATTGTTTAATAATTAACAATTAAATTTAAAAATAATAATAATAATAACATGTAAGCTATAGTAATTTTATATTTTTTAAACTAGGTGCATTAGATTAGATGTACCATAAACACTACAGATTGTTTCTGAAATGAATTAGGAATGTATAGTATAAGTGGACTGGGGTGGCTCAATGAAGATTCTTTAGAAATTTTGTTTCTATCATCAAAACTTGGGTATTATTTATAGAATATTTTCTTGTTTCTAATAACAAATACCTAACCTTGTATAATTCTCATGTGCCCCAGTTGCTGGGTTAAAAAAATGTTGTGTGACATTGATTTGTATGATAACTCTACATCATAAATGTTAGTAATATTTGCTTGTTGTCGTTTATGATACATATTTAATTAACTTAGTTTTTACATATTACAATTTATTCAAAATCATTATTTACTTACAAACGTTATTCAAAAGATGTTCTAAAATACAGATTACAGTTAAAGATTTGTATGTATTTAGTATCTAGATATCTTGACATCTTTGATATTTTACAACTTTAGTTATATTATCATAATTTATACTATAGGTAATTAAAAACATTTATGAGGCAAACAAGATAGCCAAACAGCAAAACGGCTATCTTGTTGGTTCAAATAACTATAGAACAGTTAACTAATCTTAATATTGAAAAAGAATTTAAAGATTGTAAACTAATCATTATTAACTATTGGATTAAAAATATTAAAAACTTAAATACAAATTTTAACTGATTATTATAATTAAAATAATTAAAAAATTCTTATTTTTATATTTAAAATAACTTATAGATTAACTAATTGTACTAGACAAATAAGATGCCATATGCAACATAGAAAATGAAAAGCTATTTATCAATTTATAATGTAGTCATATTGTAATAATTGTACTGTTGTGTTTAGCAAATGTATATATCTCATAAAAGCATATTTTTTTCAACGTTAAATATAATATTTAGGCAATTTTCAAAAATTTTTTTTATATAAGAGCAAAAACTTTCATTTTTTTAAGGTATTTTTATTGATCATTAGAAAATGATAATCCACACCGTAATAATTAAGTGTACACTTTCTAAGTCTACAATAGTTAAGGTCACAAAAGTTAACAATATTGATACAGATGATTTATAGTACAAATCCTCACACATTTTATACAATATAGAAT